GGATCGAGTCCCATGTCAGGCTCCCTGCATGGAGCCTGCTTCTCCCTCTGCCTGTGTCTCTGCCTCTCTCTCTCTCTCTCTCTCTTGAATGAATGAATGAATGAATAAATAAAATCTTAAAAAACAAACAAACAACAACAACAACAAAAACAAAAAACAAAGGGTACTCAGGTTTCTTCCCTGACTCTCAACTCTGGCTTCATTCTTTGGTAGGATACACTTTGTTAGTCTGGGTTGGAAGTAATAATAGATCAGTTGTATTTCCACCCTACTGAAATGCCCTCCTTGAATGCAATATTCCCCTGAGCTTACAAATCTGCTATAAGAGCCAAGGTCTTAATATACTTCCAATGGACTTTGTCTAGGATTGCTTTCCCAAAGGGTGCAAAAGTTCTGCAGGCTCTAGGTAAGTCCATTTAAAAGCAGTGATTCAGTTACTTATGTTTGTGCTACATCAGCACGTAGACTTTTAGGTTAATTGCCCAAACCCATTTATTTAGCTGCAGGATGTATGTCAGCCACTGCTGTAGAAAGCCAAGAGAAATGACCAAGAATAATTCCATTTTGTAAGGAGCTCCAAAGAGTCTTGTCCAAGGCAGGTTGCATCTATGTTTCCATGGCAACCAATATCTGTTCCGGGAAAGGAGCCCAAACAATTGTGTTATGGACCAACTCTTCTAGAAGCACTGGCTAACAGGAGTGGAGAGGATTTAAAACAGTGTTTGCATGAGGCACCTAGGTGGCTCAATCAGTTAAGCATCTGCCTTCAGCTCTGGTCATGATCCCAGGACCCTGGGATTAAGTCCCACATCTGGCTCTGTTCAGCAGGGAGCCTAGCCTGCTCCTCCCTCTCTCTCTTCCCTTCCCTCCACTAGTGCTCTCTCCGTCTCAAATAAATAAATAAATAAAATCTTAAAAAAAAAAAAACCCACCAAAACAGTGTTTATGTGATCAAATAAACTTATGTCTCATTTAAGGAAAGGGCACAGTGTGGTTGGTAGAACAATTTGTTTCTTCTTTAAGGACCTGGCTGCCTTTTGGTGCTATAGCTGCCTTGTCTACATGATAGAAGTCACAGCAGCATCTCTTGCTTATCTCAGGCAAACATCTGAGAGCAGAGATTTCTACTCCATTGAAACATACAGGAAAAACTCTCTAAAGACCTTTCATATCAGCCCACTGGATGCCCACTGGGCAGAATGGGGGCAGCATAGACACCCTACATTGTCTAGGATGGGTTTTCAAGCCCAGGTATGGAGGACCCTGGGCCATGATGTCAATTTCCTGTCTTCCTGGCATGCTCTTCTCAATGAGATCCCACCACATGTACAGCACCATGTGCAAAGCGTGGTTTGAATGTTGGCCTGAGGGTAGTAATGAGCTGAGAGAGATAATACGATCTAGTTGTAAGAGAAAGAATATTTTATTTAATTAATTACAATCATGGGGAATTCTAAGTCATGATAATTGAAGCACTAACAACCAGCTTTGTGAAATGACAGTTTGTTGTGATCTACAATGGTGTTTCAGTTACTGAATTGGCCATTTGATGGTTATATGATGGTTTTGGAGTGCTGCACTGTGTCGGCCTTACACACAAGGATGCAGCCTTATGCACACGAATGTCTCACAAATAATAGACATTAAAGAATCATTATGTTCATACCACATGTTCCTGGGAATTCTTCAGTGAAGCCATCTGCAGAAATTGATCGAGAGGAGCCCATTGGCAGGATAACAAGACTCTAATTGGATCTAAAGCCAGCACTTACAACAGAACTGTTAGCTTGCTATCTGGGAGGAGAGGATGCATGTGTTCCTCTCATTGTGTTTCATTTTCTTGCCAGCATTATTGCTGGCACCCAGAGAAGACTGACTAAGGATGTGAGAACTCAATGTAGCCATTACCAAATGACACAAGAGGGAACAAGTCCAAATGCTGTCATGCCATAGCTGCATATAAATCTTCCATTCTCAGCAACCTGGCACAGTGCTCAGGATGGACAACCTTGTGTTGGAGATGCAAAATGAGCATTTTGACCTGGACAGATGGATTTAGATCTCTATGGAATAGAGACAATCTTTGATTATAAACCTCTTCCTGACCACTGGTCTTTTTAAAAGCACTATACAATGTCTAAACAATGTTACATTTACTACATTTAGGAAATGTAGGCTGGGAAATGCTTAGATAAGTTTTCCCAGGATGACATGGAATGGGTTCAAATCTAGACCTTGGAGTAGATATTTATAGGTTTATTTTATGCATATTTAGACATGAAAGATGATGGAATATGCTGCTCTTGGCCTTAAGAGCATATTCCCTGGTTGGCAGTGAGGTGTGTCATGGCATATAGCTGCAAGTAGACAAGCCTCTTACACTCACCAAGACCAGTGAGGGGGACAGCCAGGCGTTTGGCTCTGTCACTGCACCATTCTCCTAGAAACACTAATATTTCAGTTTGGTAGATAGAATTAAGACTTTCTCTTACAGATCCTGAGAATTTTTGTAATCCATCTTTAAAAGACTCAATAAAATGATTTTAAAATAAGGCCAAGGAAGTGCATAATTACCATTTTTTACTCATTATTCATGTTGTCTTTTTTCCTAAAGTTGATTTAGATTTTTGTCAATTTTCAGTGATAAAGGTTGTTTGTGATTGGTGAAATGAGTTTTAGTTTATGTGAATGTAGGAGATACAATAAAATGGATTTTTTTTGAAATTATTTTTATTTTTATTTTGTTTTTTTTATAATAAATTTATTTTTTATTGGTGTTCAATTTACCAACATACAGAATAACACCCAGTGCTCATCCTGTCAAGTGCCCCACTCAGTGCCCATCACCCATTCACCCCCACCCCCAGTCCTCCCCCCCTTCCACCACCCCTAGTTCGTTTCCCAGAGTTAGGAGTCTTTATGCTCTGTCTCCCTTTCTGATATTTCCCACACATTTCTTCTCCCTTCCCTTATATTCCCTTTCACTATTATTCATATTCCCCAAATGAATGGGAACATACACTGTTTGTCCTTCTCCGATTGACTTACTTCACTCAGCATAATACCCTCCAGTTCCATCCACGTTGAAGCAAATGGTGGGTATTTGTCGTTTCTAATGGCTGAGGAATATTCCATTGTATACATAGACCACATCTTCTTTATCCATTCATCTTTCGATGGGCACCGAGGCTCCTTCCACAGTTTGGCTATTGTGGACATTGCTGCAATAAACATTGGGGTGCAGGTGTCCCGGCGTTTCATTGCATCTGTATCTTTGGGGTAAATCCCCAACAGTGCAATTGCTGGGTCGTAGGGCAGGTCTATTTTTAACTCTTTGAGGAACCTCCACACAGTTTTCCAGAGTGGCTGCACCAGTTCACATTCCCACCAACAGTGTAAGAGGGTTCCAAAAGGGAATTTTAAAATGATGATGTGTGGCAATTGTAGTTCAGCCTCATAAGGACCTGGAAAACTGTCCATCTATTGAGAGTGTCATGATAATCATTAGAAATTGTCAAATTTCTTTTTCTTCCTTCCTTCCTTCCTTCCTTCCTTCCTTCCTTTCTTTCTTTCTTTCTTTCTTTCTTTCTTTCTTTCTTTCTTTCTTCTCTTTCTTTCTCTCTCTTCTTTCTTTTCTTTCTTTCAACAGTTTGCAACCCTAACCATAGAAGTTGCTCTGGAAAGATGTTAGACAAATGGATAGGAACAAAATTTGGGGTAACAAAAAATTTCCTAACAGTCTCACAGACCTTGGTGGTGTGACAAGGGTAGTTGCAAGAGATAGTAAGGAGCAAATCAAATAGAAGCTGGGTTAATAGGCTTAAGATTCTGCTAGAGTGAATCAGAACATTAAATATGTTGAGGAACGAAATCTTTTTGCTGTGGTAACACCAGCTGGTTGTCTCAGACCTCTCTGATTGGTCATACTTGGCACACAGCTGAAGCTCAGTGCCCAGGGCCCAGGGTCCAGCACAGTCACTGCAGATATTTGGTGCTTGGGCTCATTGTGGCCTCACTAACTCCAAATGCTCTTCAAAGGGACCATCAAATTCAGATGACAATGTAAGCTATCTATTCAAATGTGATACCCAGTCAGTTTCTCAGTTACCCGAGCCTTTCCTGGATTTGTAAGCATGATGTGTGTTTGTTTATTTGTTAAAGCTTTGCACCTACATAGACAAAACAGCAAGAAAGCCATGATATTCCAGTTAAATCATGATTATCTGTAGTCACCAATGGGGACTAGGAAAGCAAAGGCAAGTGAATTCTACACCTAGATCCTGAGTTTCAGTTCAAGTGGGGTGAACATCTTCTTTCTCAGGTCCATTTGCCTGAGCTTCTAGCAAGAAGTTGATGGTTTTGAGTTTACATTTATTTTACTAGTACTATGTACCTTCTGAAGGAGATGAATATGTGCCAAAGAGCAGAGACAAGAAGAAGCAGGAGGGTGGAAAAAGCAGAAAGAATCTATGATTTCTGTAACTTCTCCACCCCTGTTTATGATAAAATATCCTCTTCATATTTATGACATGCATCCAGAAATTGGCATAAATAGATATATATCATGCATACATCTGTGAACATGGATATACGTGGCTTGAAGTAGACAATGATATTGATCCTTGACTACTTAGTTTGATTTGCATATATATTTGCATGACCTTGAAGAAAATGAACAATCATTTTTAAGAAGAGTAGTAATAGGTACCATTTTCAAGATTCATGGTGAAACTACATGCATCAAGTGAAATCCCAGGAAAGATTCTATCTCTGTTTTATGCATAAGGCTTAGATTTATTGCTTATATTGGCTTTCACATGCCTACACTAGAAATCTGCATTTTTCAAGTACCACCTCCTTCATTTCTCTCTATACAAGAATGAACTATTATTTTTTTAATTTTTTACATATTTTTATCATTATTTTTAATGTCCAACATTTACAATATGAGGGCCAGTGCTTTCTCGCCAAGTTTATAAGTTTTCGACTGGCTTGTAAGGTCAATAGGGATATTCCTTTTTGTGTAGTTTGGTTTCTGGGAAGGCTTCATTCAGGTCCTCAATGGTCATCTGATCAAATGGAATTATGTTCTTCATCTTCTCCAGCATTTTTTCATATTCTTCAATCCTGGCCTTTGAGACAGGCAAAAACTCAGCACAGCTTTTCACATCTTTTTTTCCTTCAGCATCCACCTGGACAGTGTATTTATCCTCTGGTACAGAAACCTTCAACCTTCAAGGCATTAAACTTCTTATCAAGGTCATCTACCAAGCCAGCCTTTGCCACATTGGCCTTGTAGTAAGCCCAGTCGATAGCAGGTGGTTTCTCAGGAAGAGTAGCCAACCTGGAGGTAAGCATCTCATTCCAGGACTTCAGGGAGCTGGCTATGGCCTTCTGGTTTCGGGGTGTGATCCCCCCAAAAGCTACCCAGTCAATGGTTTTCATTTTTTTATTTAATTTTTTTCTGTCTTAAAACCTCAAAATTTAATATTCAGCCATTGTAATATACAGGCATACAGCATATTTTCCCAATATGGTTTTGTTAAATTTTGATTATTTTGTTATATTCACAATCCTGGAAAACTAGTAGTATTTCCTAGTATATTACAGTATCACAGAATTGAGTTAAGTTATTCATCTGTTAAATTTGTTTACCAAATGTCCCAGTTCAGTTATAAAATTAGAAATGGGGCTAAGAGACTGTGAGGCAAAATAAACACATGGGTACAGAGAAATACTAAACTTTATGACCCTGTATAGTAATTATAGGGTAAGGGGATGGATCAAGGTCCAAGATGATATTATAGAAGTGAATGGAATTGTGATGAGGGAAAGGGAATAATAACTGGGGGAAAAAAAGTATGATTTAGAGGAAAGATATTATCATTGGCCTCCAAAAATGGGTTTGGAAGTTTTACTTCTATTTCTATTTTTTGGAACAGTTTGAGAATAGGTATTAACTCTTCTCTTTTTTCATAAATTTATTTTTTACTGGTATTCAATTTGTCAACATATAGAATAAACCTAGTGCTCATCCCTACAAGTGTCCATCTCAGTGCCCACCACCCAGTCACCCCCACCCCCTGGCCACCTCCCTTTCCACCACCCCTAGTTCGTTTCCCATAGTTAGGAGTCTCTTATGTTCTGTCTCCCTCTCTGATATTTCCCACTCATTTTTTCTCCTTTCCCCTTTATTCCCTTTCACTATTTTTTATATTCCCCAAATGAATGAGACCATATAATGTTTGTCCTTCTCCAATTGACTTATTTCACTCAGCAAAATACCCTCCAGTTCCATCCACATCAAAGCAAATGGTGGATATTTGTTGTTTTTAATGGCTGAGTAATATTCCATTGTATACATATACCACATCTTCCTTACCATTTATCTGTCGATGGACACCGAGGCTCCTTCCACAGTTTGGCTATTGTGGACATGGCTGCTATAAACATCGGGGTGCAAGGTGTCCGGCGTTTCACTGCATCTGTATCTTTGGGGAAAATCTCCAACAGTGCAATTACTGGGTCGTAGGGCAGATCTATTTTTAGCTCTTTGAGGAACCTCCACACAGTTTTCCAGAGTGGCTGCACCAGGTCACATCCCCACCAACAGTGCAGGAAAATTCCCCTTTCTCCACATCCTCTCCAACATTTGTGGTTTCCTGCCTTGTTAATTTTCCCCATTCTCACTGGTGTGAGGTGGGATCTCATTGTGGTTTGGATTTGTATTTCCCTGACGGCAAGCGATGCAGAGCATTTTCTCATGTGCTTGTTGGCCATGTCTATGTCTTCCTCTGTGAGATTTCTCTTCATGTCTTTTGCCCATTTCATGATTGGATTGTTTGTTTCTTTGGTGTTGAGTTTAATAAGTTCTTTATAGATTTTGGAAACTAGCCCTTTATCTATTTCGTCATTTGCAAATATCTTCTCCCATTGTGTAGGTTGTCTGCTGGTTTTGTTGACTGTTTCTTTTGCTGTGCAAAAGCTTCTTATCTTGATGAAGTCCTAATAGTTCATTTTTGCGTTTGTTTCTCTTGCCTTCATGGATGCTTCTTGCAACAAGTTGCTGTGGCCAAGTTCAAAAAGGGTGTTGCCTGTGTTCTCCTCCAGACTTTTGATGGAATCTTGTCTCACATTTAGATCTTTCATCCATTTTGAGTTTATCTTTGTGTATGGTGCAAGAGAGTGGTCTAGTTTCATTCTTCTGCATGTGGATGTCCAATTTTCCCAGCACCATTTCTTGAAGAGACTGTCTTTCTTCCAATGGATAGTCTTTCCTCCTTTATCGAATATTAGTTGACCATAAAGTTGAGGGTTCACTTCTGGATTCTCTATTCTGTTCCATTGATCTATGTGTCTGTTTTTGTGCCAGTACCACACTGTCTTGATGACCACAGCTTTGTAGTACAGCCTGAAATCTGGCATTGTGATGCCCTCAGCTATGGTTTTCTTTTTTTTTTTTAAGATTTTTTTTTAAAAAATTATTTATTTATGATAGTCACACACAGAGAGAGAGGCAGAGACACAGGAAAAGGGAGAAGCAGGCTCCATGTACCAGGAGCTCGACGTGGGATTCCATCCCGGGTCTCCAGGATCGCGCCCTGGGCCAAAGGCAGACGCCAAACCGCTGCGCCACCCAGGGATCCCTGGTTTTCTTTTTTTATATTCACCTGGCTATTCGAGGTCTTTTCTAATTCCATACAAATCTTAAGATAATTTGTTCCTACTTTCTGAAGAAAGTCCATGGTATTTTGATAGGGATTGCGTTATATGTGTAAATTGCCGTGGGTAGCATTGACATTTTCACAATATTAATCCTTCCAATCCATGAGCATGGAATATTTTTCCATCTCTTTGTGTCTTCCTCAATTTATTTCAGAAGTGTCCTGTAGTTTATGGGGTATAGATCCTTTACCTCTTTGGTTAGGTTTATTCCTACGTATCTTATGTTTTTGGGTACAATTGTAAATGGGATTGACTCCTTAATTTCTCTTTCTTCAGTCTCATTGTTAGTGTATAGAAATGCCACTGACTCCTGGGCATTGATTTTGCATCCTGTCACACTGCCAAATTGTTGTATGAGTTCTAGCAATCTTGGGGTGGAGGCTTTTGGGTTTTCTATGTACAGTATCAAGTCATCTGCGGAGAGGGAGAGTTTGACTTCTTCTTTGCCAGTTTGAATGCCTTTAATTTCTTTTTGTTGTCTGATTGCTGAGGCTAGGACTTCTAGTACTTTGTTGAATAGCAGTGGTGAGAGTGGGCATCCCTGTCGTGTTCCTGATCTTAGGGAAAAGGCTCCCAGTGTTTCCTAATTGAGAATGATATTTGCTGTGGGCTTTTCGTAGATGGCTTTTAAGATGTTAAGGAATGTTCCCTCTATCCCTACACTCTGAAGAGTTTTAATCAGGAATGGATGCTGTATTTTGTCAAATGCTTTCTCTACATCCATTGAGAAGATCAGATGGTTCTTTTTTTCTCTCTTGCTGATATGATGAATCACAGTGATTGCTTTATGAGTGTTAAACCAGCCTGGCATCCCAGTGATAAATCCCACTTGGTCATAGTTAATAATCTTCTTCTTTTTTTGGGGGGGGGGATACCGTTAGTTTATTATAAAAGAGAGACATGAAAATTATTTACATGATGCAAGATTTAACAATTATCTTCTCAATGTACTATTGTATCCTACTGGCTAGTATCTTGTTGAGAGTGTTTGAATCCATGTTCATCAGGGATATTGGTCTGTAATTCTCCTTTTTGGTGGGGTTTTTGTCTGGTTTTGGAATTAAGGTGATGCTGGCCTCATAGAACGAATTTGGAAGTACTCCATCTCTTTCTATCTTTCTGAACAGCTTTAGTAGAATAGGTCTTGTTTCTTCTTTAAACATTAGATAGAATTCCTCTGGGAAGTCATCTGGCCCTGGACTTTTGTGTCTTGGGAGGTTTTTGATGACTGCTTCAATTTCCTCCCTGGTTTTTGGCCTTTTTGGGTTTTTTATTTCTTCCTGATCCAGTTTTGGTAGTTTGTGGTTTTCCAGAAATTAGTCCAAGTTGCCTAATTTATTGGCGTAGAGCTGTTCATAATATGTTTTTAAAATCGTTTGTATTTCCTTGGTGTTGGTAGTGATTTCTCCTTTCTCATTCATGATTTTATTAATTAGAGTCTTCTCTCTCTTCTTTTTAATAAGGCTGGCTAATGGTTTACCTATCTTATTAATTCTTTCAAAGAACCAACTTCTGGTTTTGTTAATCTGTTCCACAGTTCTTCTGGTCTCAATTTCATTGAGTTCTGCTCAAATCTTTATTAACTGTCTTCTGCTGGGTGGAGGATCTATTTGTTTGTTTTCTCAACTCCTTTAGGTGCAAGTTTAGCTTTTGTATTTGAATTCTTTCCAGTTTTTGGATGGATACTTGTATTGAGATGTATTTCCCCCTCAGGACTGCTTTTGCTCTATCCCAAAGATTTTGAACGGTTGTATCTTCATTCTCATTAGTGTCCATGAATCTTTTTAATTCTTCTCTAATTTCCTGGTTGAACCTTTCATCTTTTAGCAGGATGGTCCTTGACCTCCACGTACTTGAAATCCTTCCAAACTTCTTCTTGTGATTTAGTTCTAGTTTCAAATCCTTATGGTCTGAAAATATGCAGGGGATGATCCCAATCTTTTGGTATCGGTTAAGACCCTATTTGTGACCCACTATGTGGTCTATTCTGGAGAAAGTTCCATGTGCACTTGAGAAGAATATGTATTATGTTGTGTTTGGATGTAAAGTTCTATGGATATCTGTAAATCCATCTGGTCCAGTGTATCATTTAAAGCTCTTCTTTCTTTGGAGATGTTGTATTTAGAAGACCTATCGAGTGTAGAAAGTGCTAGATTGAAGTCACCAAGTATAAGTGTATTATTATCTAAGTATGTCTTAATTTGGTTATTAATTGATTGATATACTTAGCAGCTCTCACATTCAGGGTATAAATACTGATGATTGTTAAGTCCTCTTGTTGGATAGATCCTTTAAGTATTATATACTGTCCCTCTTCAACTCTTACTACAGTCTTCGTGATAAACTTTAGTTTATCTGATATGAGGATGGCTACCCCTGCTTTCTTTTGAGAACCATTTGAATGGTAAATGGTTCTCCAACCTTTTATTTTCAGGTTGTAGGTGTCCTTCTGTCTAAAATAGTCTCCTTAGACAGCAAATAGATGGGTTTTGCTTTTTTATCCAATCTGAAACCCTGTGCCTTTTGATGGGGTCATTAAGCCCATTCACGTTCCGAGTGACTATTGAAAGGTATGAATTTATTGTCATCATGATACCTATTTAGTCCCTCTTTTTGTGGATTGTTCTCTTGGACTCCTCTTTCTTTTACAGAGTCCCCCTTAATATTTCATGGAGAACTGCTTTGGTGGTCACATATTTTCTTAGTTTCTGCCTATCTTG